TCAACAAAAATTTAAATGCAATGTCAATCGTTAACTTTTGTCGTTCTAATTGTTGTTCGTTTATTGTTCTCTCTCCTTAATGTTTCTTTTTTTCTTTTTTCTCTTACTCTTTCCGCCTCAGTAATTCTATGAGCGAGAGGCCAAGAAAGCTCCTTACAACACCAAAGATAAAATGAAGGCAAGGATTATGGCAACAAAGAGAACATCCAGAAGAGCTGCAGGACATTCCGAAGTTGTCTAAGAGGCACGGTGGAGTAATGGATAGCGGCTCGAATTGAGGAATTGGAGAACCGAGTTCGAATTCCAGTCAAGCATTCACTTACGTGCGTGTACCATTTGGAAAGGTATAAATCCTTTTCTTCTTCCCCCGCCTACCTATAGATAAATAGCAGGACAGACCGGGTTCTATAGCCTTGGATGGCAACTGCTCTACCGCAGAAAGAAATGGCAACCTATTGCGGGGAAAAAATCTGCCTCGTCAGTCATATATCGAAAGATACATGATTGCATAAGCATGTATCTAGCATGGCACCTAACTGACTGAATCCTATGAGTTTTAATTGCTTTGTTGGGGCGGGGGGGTCATTTTTTTTAATCCAGGCTTTTACTTTGGTTAAAACACCAGCGGGAAATACACAACTGCCTCACCCAATTACCAAGTTCTTACAAGACTATCTCTTAGCTACATATTGTATAAACAGATTTTTTTTTATTAATCCACGATTGCTTTCACTACAGGTGCATTAGAAGCCTGCTGACTAAATTACCTCATTAAAAAAAAAGCCACAGTTCATTGTCCACAATATAAACGAACATAGCAGCTGGGAATATTTATCACCTACGAGCATTAATATGTTGAATCTGAAAATAACATTATATTTCTATGCTATTATTCTTCTAATACACAAGGCCCAATCGTCACTCAATGTTGACAGTTACTGATTGAGTTCGTTTTATGAATTTAAGAGAAGGAAATAAGATTATGGTGATATGTATGATAAATAACGGCTGACCCTAGACTTGAAGAGGTCAAGATCGTCGTGATCGGGAGACTGTTTCACATAGTAACAATTCTGGAGAAGAAGAAGCTGTGAGTACAGCTTCCACCTTACCAATAGAATACAAAGGGAATTCGACTCTGCATACGTCGGATGGCGAGTCTTAGATGTAAATATCTGAACTGATGCAAAAAAGATAGTAGCTCGTCTGAACATTTGCCATGGAAATAGCGATAGAATAGCGAGAGGCTTTCAACGTTTAAATCTCATTATAGCCTGTTAAACAAGTGTCTACTATTTACATTATTCGGACTATTGTCCTCATCTTTGTCGCCATATTTATCACAATGTTTCGGCCGGTGTACGCTCCGGCTCTTCTTCAGGTGGTTAGAATGTCGAACTGAACACTTTATTTCCATCATTGGGGTAAACTGTTCTAGTTCCAAGTGCCATGTCTAATGGATGCCAGTTATCAGTTATCTCCTGTTAATTCCCCCTCTCCAAGTTCTCTCATGGAACAGTGGATAAAGGCGTTAGTTAGATACAGTGACAGGACCCAAAGAGTGAGTTCAATACCCGGTTAAGGCGGTGGGTAATTTATCTTGAAGTGGTGTCTCGATAAAGCTACCCATCATACGGCAGCCTAACCAATCACTGGGATGTAGCTCTCCACAGATTCCTTTTCTTTACTAAGAATTACTGCTAATTGTCATAACTTCTTCGGAAAAATAGTGAATTGGTTTTCCGCAGCCTTCTCTATAGTTTTGATTTCAGAATGGACATTCTAGTCTGGCTGCCACCCAAAGCCGAGTCTTTTCTACTATTTAATCCATAGTTGGGAGTAGAGAAGAAGAAGTTGATTCATGTGCTGGTATGAAGTCGCAAGCCCTTCAGCTAATGGGCAAATGGTTCTTTAGCCTTGGTGAGCAGTTTATCTTGAAGTGGTGTCTCGATCAAATTATCCATCCCATGGTAGCCTGGACACACCCTGCGATGTATCGGACTGGAAAAAACGCGCAGTGACCGGAATTCTTAATATAAAGAGATGTCACAGGAGTTCATAATCTTCAGGAAGCAAGGAACATTTTACATAACTTGATATTAAGGATTTAAATCATAACAGCGCGATTTTTTATAGATTTTTCTGGGAAAGAAAAGTTATTTTAGATTCATTCGAATATGCCTCCAACCGCAGCTTGACACCTCCTGACGAGCTGATTAACTGATCTGACATTTTCATTGGTTAATATCGATCTATGTTTTTTTATTGCTTTTTTTTCTATTGCTTTTTAACACAGAATTAAGGACATTGTGAAAGAATAAGATTAGGAATTAAAAAAAATAAATATTTAGTGTAAAATAAATGCTTTCTTTAATCATTTTTTAAAATAAAATAGAATAAAAATAAACGTTTTATGTAAAATGTTTTCTTTAATAATTTTTAATATATTAATAGAATAAAAAATAAACATGTTATGTGAAATAAATTTTTTCTTTAATCTTTTTTTAAATAAAATAGAATAAAAATAATCATTTTATATAAAATAAATATTTTCTTTAATCATTTTTTAGAATAAAATACAATAAAAAATAAATATTTTACGTAAAATAAATGCCTTCTTTAATCATTTTTAAAATAAAATAGAATAAAAAATAAACATTTTATGTAAAATAAATGTTTTCTTTAATCATTTTTAAAAAATAAAATGGCTTCAGTTCGCTAATTTTACTTTCCGCATTGGTTGACGTTACTCTAACCATTTACCCATTCATCTACGTAGAAGTCGATTAAATAATTACCGTTCCTAGAATTTTTGAAAAACTAAAAAAAACAACACATAAGAAAACAGAGTTGACGATGTTTTGATTAACAGTGAAACACTTGAAAACTCTCGTTAAAACATTCTTCTGAAAGTAGCGCAGTTAAAAGAGCAACGTTTAAAAAAAAACGAGGCTAATGCTAAACAGTATACAAAAGGGAAGATAAGACAATTGTTTTTTGATTTGTTTTTTGTTCGTTATCTTTTGTTTGTTTTTCTTGTTTTCTTTTTTACCGGGTATGTTTCTTCTTCGGGGTATTTTTTTTATTAAATTTTATTGATATTTTTATTGTATTTTTATTTTATTGGATTGAATCTTTTGAATTTTTTTTAAAATATTTTTTTTAATTATAGTTTTTTTTTAATTTTTTTTATTTTATTTTTTTTTGAATTTTATTAAATTTTTTTTACTTTTTTTTTTTTAAATTTTATTGATATTTTTATTTTATTTTATTTTTTATTGAATCTTTTGAATTTTTAAATTTTTTTTATATTTTTAATTTTTAAATTTTTTTAATTTTTGAACATTTTTTATCAAATTTTATTTAATTTTTTTTTTTATTGAATTTATATTTCATTTTCTTGAAATTTTTGAATTTTCTTATTTTCTGAATACTTTAAGTTTTTGAATTTTTTACATGAAAAATTTTTGGCGATTTATATACTTGTGTACAGATGACGCGTAGACTTCCTTTTATAAAGAAACGAAAAAAAGAGAAGAAAAATACATTTAAAGAACGTTTCTTTTAGCTTTCATCATCTCGTTAATTGCTAACTTCCAGGAGAGTAATCCATTGAACGTTCATGAATTTTTATTGTAAAATACAATAATTGTGGCAAACACATTGAGCATTCTCTATTGATAGGAATTAGAACGATAAGATAAAGTCATTTGCTAAGTCTGCTGATAGGCAAGTTTATTCCCTGCGTCATACCAAACATTTTTTCTGTCCCATGCATTGAATGTTGTTGCTACATCTGGTCTGGTGCTTCTGATATGTATCTAGAGATTCTCGACAAAATTTACAGAATAATCAGCAATGTTATTGGCCCTTACCTAGTATCTTGGCTTCAGTCACATAACTTACCTGTGCTTTTTTTTTTTTTTTTTTTAAATATTTTTAAAGTATTTGTTCTGATGAGCTTTCCTCTTTCGTACCTCGACTTCACGAATTTATATGAAATAAGAGATTGGAAATAAGATGTTATGGTTTCACTGTTTAAATTGCTGCATTTAACCACAAGTTCTATTCTAATAGTTTCTTCTCACGCACTTCTCACCTGTGGAACTCTCTTCCGGCGTCTTGCTTTCGTATTAACTACGATCTTCAAAAAAAATGTTATGGTAATTTACCCACGCACGCATGGACGCTTCCAGCTATAAATAGGAGCAGGTACTGCCTTTTGGAGGCTGAAGTTTCCAGCAGTCAGCTTTGACAGTCGGACTGAACATCCTTGCTGTAACACTCTCGTTTGTATATGTTTGTAATACTGTTTCTGTTAATATATTTGTTTAACTCAATTCCTTTCTTTGTGTCTTTATTTCTGTGCCCAACAAGGCCACAACAAAAACTTACATGCATCGTCAATTGTTATTCCTTTGCCTTCTTGAATCCAGTACTTTTAAAGTTCTTTCTCCTCAATAACGTTTTCTAAGTTTTTTGTTTTTTTTTCGCTATTAGCACGCACTTTGCGTCTTAGTGGCTTTATCGTCTTGCTTAGTGTGAAATGATTTGATAACTTACATTTGATTTTATATAGTATAATATTAATTGCTACGTGATCTGTCAGTCCATCGTGGTTAGTCACCTTTAGCGAAATAAGCTACTCTTCGTAACACCGCTAATTGATTTATTGATTCATTTTTACGGCTTATCAACCCTTTGAAGGTTATTTAAAGACAGAAAATGTTTTTAGATTGTAAGTGTTTTTTGAGATAATTATGGTTTAGTGGTAAAAGTCTTACTAAGTAATCCACAATTAAAATTATTAATTTATTAATAATAAATTATTATTAAGCTAAATTAAATAATTTAATTAATAAATTATAATTATTACTCCATAATTAAGTTGGCGGAAGAAGATGAGGTATGCAAATATAACGAACCGAGCTTGAATTATAAATCGGCTCTCCGATCTTGAATTTCGAGTGATTATCCATTGAACCACCCGTAAATCCAAGCTTACAGCACCTGGTATTTCCAAGCGGTCACCCATCTCGGTACTGACCAGTTTCGAAGTTGCTTAACTTCGGTGATCGTAATGGTACTGGTGTTTCAGAAAAAATTTAAAGACAGTTTATCTCTTCTATAGGTTTTTCTTTCTCTCGCGAGGGATATTTTTTCTAATCCGAGCTAGGATGTAACTTACTATTTAAGTTGATTTGTTTTCCAGTTTCTAAGCTCAACATTACAAGGCTAATCGGTTAGTTGGTTGCTTGCTTGCTTAGTTAGTTTTGTTTAGTTCCGCGGCATATAGGTTATTTGATGCCGAAATCTAAATATTTTGTACATAATTTTATACTTTCACGGTAAAGTTATGTATTTTTTGTTGTGACCTTGTTAGAGCCAGAAATAAAGATACAAAGAGAGGAACTGAGTTAAACAAATATATTAACAGAAACAGTAATACAAACATATACAAACGAGAGTATTACAGCAAGAATGTTCGACCCGACTGTCAGAGCTGACTACTGGAACTTCCCTCTCCAAAAGGCAGTACCTGCTCCTATTTATAGCTTGAAGAGTTCAGGCGTGCGTGGGTAAATTACCATAACATTTTTAGATATATAAGTAAAAAAAATATGTAGTGTTGGTAATTTTACTATAAAAATGTACTGTTATATTTTTAGTGATTTTTTTATTGTCATTTTATAAAAAGTATTGGTCATTTTATTAAATGTACTGTTGATTTTTGTCTAGGAATTCACTATTTGCATATAGCTGGGACCCTAACTGGTGCTACCACCCTGGATCAAAGTGGACCTAGGAACAACATCAGTTAAGAGGTGGTCCCACGCTGCTCAAAACCTCCAATCTCCCGATCAGAGGCCTTCCTGCTGGTTGTTAGTTTGTCGTCATACCCAGGACGAAAGGTTAAGCGGAAGAAGCTAATAAAATCACGTAGAAGGTTGTGTTCGTCTGGCTCACAGACCTCATTTGGAAGCACAAAGAACTAAGCTCATTAAATTGACAACAGTCTGTCCTAATATCGCCCAGTGTATGGCGTCTAGATATCTACAAACTTAGCCTCGTTTGGTATAAGGTAACAGTGGTAAGTGGAGGGCTAACGTTTCTCATTTTACCCCGTGCTTATTTTTAAATTTCTAGGAGGGGAAATTATACAAAGAAAAGGAAAAAGGAGAGTGAAATCAAAGGAAATATGCAAAGAAAGGAAAAAGAAAACTAAAAGAAAGAAGAAAATAGGAAAAGAAAGGTTCTAGAAAGGAAGGAAATAGAAAAAGAAAGAAAAAATAGAAGGAGAGAGAAGAGACAAGATAAAAATGGAAGGAGGAAAGAAAAAGAAGAAAAGAAAAAAGGAAACAGAAAAATAATGAAAAGATAAAAAGAAAGGAAAAACGAGAAAAAGAAAGGAAAAGAGAATGAAGGAAAGAGAAAAAAGGAAGGACAAAAAGAATGAAAAATAGAAAAAAGAAGAGGCATAAAAATATAACGAAAGAAAAAAGAAAAAATGAAAGAATTTAAGACAAAAAGAAAAAAGAAAGTATAATCTCAGAAAGTGAAGAAAGAAGTAAAAGAAAAAAGAAAATGGAAACAGTAAAAGAAAGAAGAAAAGGTAAATAGGAGAAAACGAAAGAAAGAAAGAAAGAAAGAAAGAGTGATGTGAAACAGAAAGGAAAAGAGATATAAGGAAAGAGAAAAATAAAGAAAAATAAAAAAGAAAGAAAAAACAGAAAAAAGAGATAAAGAAGGAAATAAAAATTGATAGAATGTAATAGAAAAAGAAAGAATAAAATCAGAAAGGGAAGAAGAAAGAAAGAAAGAAAGAAAGAAAGAAAGAAAGAACTTGAAAAGAAAGAAAGAAAGCGAAAAGAAAGAAAGAAATATGGGATGAGAAAGAAGAAAAGAAAAGAGACCGAAGGGAAAGAAATGCGGAAAGAGATAAAGAAAGAATAAAAAATATCCAACCAAAATTGATAAAGAGAAAAAAAACGTGACAAAAAGAAAAATAAAGAACAAAAGTAAAAAAAGAAGAAAAAAAGGAAAAAACTGAAAAAAAAAATAAACAAAAGGTTAATAAATAAATAAATAAATAAATAAACAGAAAATAAATAAAAAGCACAGCAAATAATAATTTTAAAATGCAGAGAATATTGCTTATAATTTTCCACCTGCATGATCAGTCTATGAAAGGATTGATTGACAAACGAAGATTTCCGGAAATATCCCTTCAGAGTGTTGCGCATCAAAAGCTTTTATGCTTGTCACGTGATAGACTAAGAGAAACTCCGCTTAATTTTCAGCGCTGTTCGCATTTTTTTTTTTTTTTCAGAACTTTTAAAATCAGTAACTTGACCTTGAATCCAATATTAACAAATAAAAATTATATACAAGAAATAAAGGAAATTAACCTCTGCAGTCTAGAAAAATAAATCACAACGGAAGACATTTCACTGATTTATACATGTTTAGGCTTATTTTTCTACATTACTGCGTTGTTCGTTTGAATTTAGAATAAAATAAGATGAAAATGTATAAATTATTTAATCTTTGAAATAACCAAAGCTTATTAGTATGTTTACAGTTAATAAATCATTTCTCAGCTTCGCGAACGATGATTTAGGAGTTATCTAACGCCTTTTGCAAAATGTGTCATCGGTTGCAGGAGAAAAAAAAAACAGCTCTCACTTTTATATTCTGCCTCCCCAGTTCTATTCTTGCTCTGCAATCTGCACCAAAGAAGGTACCTGGAAGACCTTGTAGCACCATAACACCGTATCAGCAGAATTTGGTGTCCATCGATGGTAGCTGATTTCATACTAGATGAGCTTTTTTTTAAAGATTTTTTTTTCATGGCTCTACCGTGATCGCACCATTCTCCACCATCGAGAGACATGTTATTTATTAGACTTGAAAAAATGTTGCCTAAATACACAAATATACACTTGTCTATATTATTTAATGAAACATGTATGAATATATATATATGTGTGCGTGTGTGTATGTATATGTATATTATATATATATATATATTATATATATATATATATATGTTGAGAGAGAGAGAGAGATGGGGAGAGAGAGAACTTAGACAAAATAATGTGAACACTAACTTAAGTATTTATTTGTTATTATTGGACCTCCATTAGTTTCTAATTATTCTAATTATTTTATCTGAAGATAAATAATTACTTAATTAGGTGGAAAAACAAGGTACAGGATTAAAGTGCTGAGCAGTTATCTTTTATGCCGGCTTGATGTTTTCAAATACCCGGAAATGCCGGAATTGAAAAGGATTCCATATTTCTTTTATTTTATGCTTTAGATAGTTAGATTCATGAATAATAAATCTGTAGAAAGATGGTAACGTGAGGTAATGTTTTAAGCGAGTGTTTATATTTGGTAGTAATGCTGTAAATATTTGTTTTGCGATAAGACCTCCTGGGAAAACCAATCGTTCTCTATCGTGTTCATGCTAAATTTATGATCCAACGCCGTCGGGCATATCTATTAGGTTGGTGCAAAAATAATGACGTAATAATGTCGTTTTTTGACGTTAAAAATACGTCAAAAAACGACATTATTACGTCATTATTTTTGCACCAACCTAATACAATGGTTTTACGATAAGACCACTTGGAGGAACGAATAGTTTCGCTCTAGTGTTCATACCTAAATTATGCTCCAACGTCATTGGGCACATCACCAATTGTTTTGCGATTAGATCACCTGGGGGAACGAATGATTCCCTAGAGTGTCCATACCAAATTTATGCCCCAACGCCAGTGGGCATATCACCACTGTGCTTTACGATAAGACCACCTGGAGGAACGAATGGTTCAATAATCTGCCTTCATGGAAGTAATGGTCGTTTGCGTATGAAACGTAGACATTGGGCGAAGCGACTTCCAGAATGAACTCTCAGTCGTAGCGTGTCTGAGCCGAATGAGTTACCCGACCTAATGGCAATTCTAAGTGGGGCCCACCTACAATTTTATGCGATGCTTTTATTAAAACCTCTCACTATATCACTATATTTGATCTTCCCATTCATCAACAATCGTGACTTTGTAGAACAGGCACCCAAGTGAATGATCCCCAATCAATCCTATCGTAACCTCTTCAAGTCTAGGGTCAGCCTATCCTACATATCCTCATAATCTCTACTTATTTCCCACTTTTATATCGTTTATTGTTTGTATTAATTTCCAATCATTTTTCCTAATTATTTATCTCGAATGTTCTCTATCGTTATTATATTGTGTCCCATGTAAATGTTTGTGGTCCAAAAAAAAAAAAACTTTTTTTTTCGTTCGTAAATTGTGTGAAGACTGCTAAAGACGTGATGAAGGGAGCCAACATCATGATGACACCAAAATAATAAAAAGAAAAGAAAGTCAAAATTTTATAATCGATAAGATAATGAGAAAAGAATTAAAAAATAACGGTAAAGGAAAGTCATTTCAGAAAGGAAAATGGCTGAATTCAGAAGAGCAATAAAATTTACATAAAAAAGGACTTAACCTCGTATTCGTTGGTAATTGCCAATAAAGAGGCATTGATTATGGCTTCCACCGAACAACAGATTAAATTCTTTTTTTCTCTCTGAAATCATAAACCACGTGTTCTTGTGGAAATTACCATCACTTTATATAAGTTTTCAAACCACAGTCATCTGGTAGCTTTTGATAGAAACCAAGTTACGGCAAGTCTCTTCCAGAATTTCTATCACTATCATTGCCTATTTTGCAATGCCGTTGTCTGAATAATTTCAACTAGTTCGACCCGGTGGAACAGCCAGTCTATATCTGTTCCTTTTTTAATTTTCTTTTTTTTTTTTTTTTTTTGGTAGTGGAGGGGAGTGCTTTTTTAGATTTTGTTCCGTTTTTGTTCCGCTTTTTTTTTCAGTCGTTTCACCACAAGCAAGGCGATGAAGCCACTAAGACGTAAGCGGTTACTAAAAGTGAAAATAATGGAGAAAACAATATTGAAAAGTTTATGGCTGAATTTCTGAGTTCAGGCGTTATCACTATTTACACTATTTATATTTGAACTATTGTCCTCGTCTTTATCATTGTTATCACGAAGTTCTGGCACTTGGGCTCTCCGGCCTTCCTCAAGTGTATATCGATTTCTCAAAGCGTTGGTTTGTGAATTTGGTGACATAGTTGTTGTGAGTTCAATCCCTGCGTCAGTTAGTGTTTACTTGCAAACGGGCAAGTAAAATAAATAAAAATAACAATTAGAAGATATCCCTAAGCATGAGCAGTGGGACGAGAACAGTCTACCCCTTTAGATTTAATAAAGGCTTCAGTTCGGAATTCCAACGGCTGAAACGTGATAAAAACAACAAAGATGAGGAATATAAATAGTAAAAATATTGAAGAGAAAATACAATAAAAGAACAGGGTTCAGAGACACAGAAGAAGACGATTGACGTTACATTGTAGAAAGCAAGAAGCAATGAACTGGAAGAGAGTCCCACGGGCGGGAATTGTGAGAGAAGAAACTGTCATCATAGAACTTGCGGTTATATTTACAAATTTCAACAGTGAAACGATGAGACCTAGCTATAAACTGTGCTTTTCTTTTATGGAATTATCCTATGTATTAATACTTTGCTTACTTTCTGAAAAACATCTTGTTATTTCATGCAACTTCAGATCTTTGCACTACACTTTGCACTACATTAATGTTTAATTTTGCCTGATTGATCATTACTACTTCATAGTAATGAAGGTAAACGAGAAGAAAGGACTAAACATCAATTTCAAGAAGATAGAATGCATGGTTGTCAGCAAAAGAAACAGCCCAATATACAATTTCCAAATTAGAGACACCAAAATCAAGCAATGACAAAAATTTAAATATTTGGGAAATGTTTTAACAGGGGACGTAAAGTAAAACACCGAAAACCCAAGGAGATAGCGAAAGTTGCTTTCCAAAAGCTAAGCAAAGTATTAAGAAACAGGCATGTTTCGTGAGAAACAAAGAAAAGAGTACTGAACTGTTACATAATATCTGTCCTATATGGCAGTGAACAGATGAAGAAGAAACGTGAAGCAACAAAAATGTGGTTCTACAGAAGGATGCTGAGAATACTATGGATTGAACATGTGAGTAACGACGAAGTTTTAGGAAAAATTAAAATAAAGTGGACACTTCTACTTAGAATCAGAAAGGGACGGTTGAAATTTCTTAGGACACATAATGATGAAAAAGGGCTTAGAAAATTTGGCACTCACAAGATATATTGAAGACAAGCACAGGGGTAAGTAGCGATCTTGTATAAACGGAGTTTTTGTTTAACGGCATATCAACACCTTATGGGTCATTTCATGCCGAAATTTAATTTTCTTGTGAGCTCTGAAGTAATAAAAATATGTTATTCTGCTTTCACAATTGAATACATGGTAGATGATACTCAGCTTTTGTGGACATAAGTAAGTTATATTTTGAAATACAGTTTGATTTCTTTAAGAAATTGTTAGATATTATATGGCTTAGTACAATCAAATGTTATTGTTTGATTTTGTTTAGCGGCACATCAACACCTCTATGGGTTATTTAATGCCGAAATCTAAATAATTTGAAGACAATGTTTTGGCTTTTACTAAATATATTTTGAAAGCAGTTGTATACATTCAACTACAGATAAAATGTATCGTTGGTCATTTGCTTTAAAAGTGTATTTTACATTCATTTTGCTGATTAAAAGTGTATTTTGCTTTAAAAATGATCATTTTGTCATTTTAAAAGTTTATGTATTGCTGATAATTTTGCTTTTAAAAGCTGATAATTTTGTTGGTTGTTGGTTTGCTTTAAAAGTGAATTTTTGGTCATTTTGCATTAAAAGTGTATTGCTGATCATTTTGCTTTAAAAGTTTATTGCTGATAATTTTGCTTTAAAAGTGTATTGTTGGTCCTTTGCTTTAAACGTCTATCGTTGGTCATTTTGCATTATATATTTATTGTTGGTCCTTTTTTATATAAAACGTATTACTAGTAATTTTAGGATAAAAATGTATTCTTATTCTTTCATTGTATTTTGTTTGTGGGTTCATCACATGCCCATGGCTGGGACCCTGGCAAGTCAGGGTAGACCTGGGAAAAACAACAATTAAGAGGTGGTTCCATATTCCTCAAAAGCTTCCGATCAGAGGCTTTGCTGCAGAATGTAGCTTATTGTCATCATTATCATTCAACCGTAATCGGAATCATCAACCCAATGCGAACGATCCTTTCTTTAGCTGTATAGTATGTGTTACGCCAGGGCTACATACAGTTTTGAATTCAGAGTTACTTTCTCCTAGACCAAGGCTATAGAACCCAGTCTGCTATTTACCCATAGCTGGGGGGAGGAGAAAAAGAGGATTCATACCTTTCCCAAAGGTATTAGCACGTAAGTGAATGCAATGGATCCGACTGGAATTCGAACTCGGCTCTCCGACTCCTCAATTCGAGCCGCTATCCATTATTCCACCGTGCCTCATCCTCAGGACTCGTGTAAATAAATGGCGGAACAGGGTTTAGGAGAGATAACAAAAAGACAAAATTTACTAAGAGCTACAAAGGACGGCAAATTGTGGAGAGCTATGAACGTCTTGAAGAGACATGGCGCATAGAAGAAGCGTGATGCCTTATATAAAAACTAAATAGTAAATAAACCAACAAGGGTTGACATGTAAAATGGTGCTAAAAAGTGTATTGTAGTTACAGCCCGTCTAAAGTTATGCAAATCACTCTAATTTGCTTTGAAAAGATTTTGTCAAATTTTAAACGATTAATTTAAATGTTCAAACACACATTTCAGTTAAATTTTAGGTAGTTCCAACATGTTTTATTAAAGTCACTGGATTTCTTTTGAAAAAAATGCAGTTTTAAGTCATTGTGCTGATTAAATGAATATTAGTTTAAGGCCGCTTAAATCTATTAAAACGTATTGTTTCATTTATTTCCATAATTTTTATTGAAACATGGGTAGTGGAAATGATCTAACAAATGCTGAAAAACAGAAAATAAAAAAAAAGTTATTAAGTGAGGGCATGTCCACATTGAAGATACCAAAGGAGTTTCGAAGACATCATCGAACGATAAAGAGGGTTTTTGAAAATATAGCTAGTAGCAAAAGAAAAGGCTTTATGAACTCGTCTGCTGGAGAGGAAAGTAAACTAAAGTGAATCAAAGTGAAACAACGACTTTTGAACAGTGCTTAGTTCACTGAACTCTAGCTTTGTTGTGACATCTAAATTAGTCATTTGAAATTTGACAAATTGTTGAAAGCAAATCCGAGTTATATGCATAACTTCAAACGGATATGCCAGACTAAGCTCATCATGATAAAAAATAGTATAGATAGATAGATAGATAGATAGATAGATAGATAGATAGATAGATATGCATAAAGTTCAAGTATGCGTGTAGACATTCACCTAGACCTATCAGATTAGTTTCCTCAAATCTAGAAAATTCAACAACGAGAAATGTTCCAATAAACCAAATTCTTAGAATGGGGAATTATATAAAGACAGATTAGCCTTGTGTTAGTTCAGATGGACTAACAAACGTGTATAAATTTTCTTTTTTTTTTTTTCGTTCTTTCTCCGATTAAGTTCAAAGCCGACTTTTTTTGTTTTCAATTTGCTAAGAAACATAGATATGCAAAAACCAAATAGGATTTCTTGTGCATATATAAAAGTAAGCAGTTTCCAACAGCCAACTATGTTACATTCGTCAGGAAAGCACTCGCCCAAAATGCAGCCATGGACAAAATTATGGGAAAGGTGTATAAAAGTTAGAAATATAAATGAAACTCATTTTTTTATATCATTTAAAGAAAAAGAACAAAGCTTTTAAATTTAATTTAATCTGTATTTTATATTTGGTGTGGGTTCCTTTTACATTTATAACAGCCTTTATGTGCTTTTGCATTTTGGAAACCAGCTTAGCACAAGTAGTCGGCTCGATTTTCTGCCATTCTTCAGGAAGTTTGGCTTCTAATTCGCATTTTGAAGACTATTTTCGCACCCTCATTCTTGTACCTAAGCATGACCACAGATGTTCCATGGGATTCTGGTCAGGGGATTAAGGAGGCCACTTCATTACCCACACTTCATTCTTTTGAAACCAACCCTTCGAAACTCTGGATGCGTGACATGGTGTGTTGTCTTGTTGGAAGATTAATCCATCTGCTATGTTATTGTTGAATTTTTTCTCTAATGGTCTAACATGCTTGTGTAAGTGTTGGAATTCATTCTATCTTCATATGTTCCTGTCCCGGAAGACGACATGCAGCACCAAACCATTACACTCCCACCTCAAAATTTTACAGTTGGGGCAATACATTGTGCATCATATGCTTCCCCAACTCTTCGACGAACATAAACAACTCCAGGGGTTTCAAAAATCTGATAAAAATAAAAATTTTAGGGATAATTTTCTATTCAATAAAAATACAGTATTAATAGGTGTAAAAAGCCAATTATGCTCAATAAATTAGTTTCAACTAATAAAGGAACTTACTTGAAAGTTTCTGTCATCAGAGCAGACAACTTTGGCTCAATCCTCAGCCGTCCAATTTCCATGTTCTTTTGCAAAAGAAAGTCTCTTTTTCTTATTAACTTCAGACAGTAAAGGTTTTTTTTCCAGCTTTACATCTTTTGAATCCAGCTTCTACTAAACTTCTACTCACTAAGCGAATCGATATCACTTTGTTGCCTCTCGAAATTCAGCAGTCACATTAAAAGAGTTGTTTTTTTTTTCCTGTAACGTAGACACCATCTTTATCAGCCTGTCTTCCCTTGAGTTTTTACACCTTTTCCGGCCTTCACCATCACGACTTTTGAGAGAATTGGTTTCGTTATATCTTTTAATGGTTGTTTCACTTTTCTTGCAATTTTGACTTGTGATAATCCTTCTTTAAACAATGCAATGATTTCTTCCCTTTTAATTTCAGGAATGTTTTTTCTTCGGAGACATTTTCAACAAAGAAGTACTTATAAATTAATACTAAACTTGTTAGTAAAAATTAGAAAAGATTTAGCACTACAGATTAAATTTCAAATAAATGATTTTGCCACTTATGCTAATTAAGTAAAAATGAACACAAATCATTATTGGTAACCGCCCCTACCATAAATGCCAGTGAAACGTCATTTCAAGAATGCTTATTATAATGTTTTCAGCTAATATATGTACGAGTTTAAATCATATTTAAAACTTTTCTACGCCTTTCCTATAATTTTGTCCGTTGATGTATTTAACACCAATTTCGTCGTGCTAGGCTTCATATTTCGGGCTTGTTTGGTGAACGATGTATTTAAATATTTGCCACGAGTGACAGGGATCATTGTATGCCAGTGGTAAATGGAAGCGGCAAGCCGAGTTGAAATTCTGGTCGAAATTACTAGATTGGCTGCTAGGTCCCCTCATTGTACAGTTGAAATGGCTAGATATCATCGTCGGCATCCGAGCACCGGGATCGTTATCCTGCCTCCTTATTCCCTTTTTGCCTTTGGTCGAGATGGCTGTAAAGGCCCAGCCTACTACCGAAGAGTCGTGAGCAGGTTGGTGGTAGACGCAGCTGGGCGAGTAGGGTCCTCCTGACAGCACGTTGCAGATCCTCTTCATGTTGACAGTTGAACTTGAAAGGCTCGGTCCTCCCACCCCAGAGTGGTCCTACGCCAGGAAGGCCGATTTGCAGCAACGGTTTCCCATGTCTCAGGATCGATGTTGGCTTTTGTCAGGGATGTCTTCAACTAATCCTTGAAGCGTCGTTTTGGGTCTCGGCGTAGCGTCTAGCTGCTGACGAGTTCTCCAAACGATACGTGTGAGTCTAGTGGGGCACATTCTGGACACGTTACACCCTGTAAATAACGGACCCGGAAGAAACACCACTTCTACAGCAGCCGCTGTTTCTTGTTTTGAATTCAGAGTTTTTCCTTCTCCTAGACCGGTTGCCACTCAGGGTTATATAACCAAGTCTGTTCTGCTATTTACCCATAGCTGGGAGAAGAAGAAGAGGATTCATACCTTTCCTAATGGATTCGACTGGAATTTGAACTCGGCTCTCCGACTCCTCAATTCCGAATCGCTATCCATTACCCCACCGTGCCTCCCCTATTCTATGGGTTACTATGGGTTAATTATTAAGATTTGTATCACTATTATTATCCCCCAACCATTATTATCCCCAAAAAATATTGCGTACAAAATATTTACATTCCACCATTAAATAACCCATAGACATTGATATGCAACTAAACAAAAACAACTCCCTTTCTTCGGATTGTCCTCTGCCGGGAAGGCTGATATCTATCAACAGTTTCCCAAGTCTCAGGGTCGATTCAATGTTGGCCTGTGTCAGGGATGTCTTCAACTGATCCTTGACGCGTCCGCTTGGGTCTCCGCGTAGCCTCTTGTCGCTGGCTAGTTCTCCAAACAGAGTGATACGTGGGAGTCGAGTTCAGGTACTGGTGTTCGATTCGGGATTTCGCGTGAGGATTTCGAATGCTGATTTTCAACGGAAGAACTTTATCACTTTCTGTCACCATTGAACCCAGCGCTCGATTAAGATGTACCAACGGATGAAGAGGGCTACGCATGACGGACATGCTACAGAAGGCGTCACACGAAATTATAACAGAAGCAGTCCGTTTCAGTTTAATAACTGCATTCGGTATGTCTCTTTCCATCTGTGCTGCAGAGGAAGGTCATGAAATCAAATATGTGGGTCACTTCCTGGCAAGTTGATGTCCACCTTAAACAAATTCTCGTCAACGGCACTTTCTTCTACTCTGATTTTCTTTCGACTTCAACCAACTCTTGTAAAACCAATCAGTGATAGGGAATGGATGACGAGAGCAGGTTTTGATGAAACTCGAAGCTTCTAGTCCTCAACCTACACGTTGGCGGCGAATTTAGTTATCAACATCATCATCATAAAGGAAGCGATAAGCAAAGAAGAAATTAAATTCTTGGATACGAGATAAAGCCGACGACGTAAATGCATCTATTACGCTCCAAGCTCCAGAAATTGGTCTTCCAATATAAAAGTCTTTGAGAGTACTTCTATAATGCCATTAGTTCCGTTTAGATTCCTTGCGAGAAAATTACGTTTACACACGTGATGCTTCGACACGAGTTCACTTCACTTGACACCTATTCTTGTTGTTTCTATGATGAACTTCAACTCCTCCGCTTTATATATTGTCTGGAGTTTTCTTTGCCCCCACAGTCCTGCAGACAAGTACGTCAAGATGTCTTTTCAGTTAGAGTCAACTGTAAAGAAGTGGAAATTACAATGTGAAAAGGTGGCTATTCTATCAGTCTTTATTCCTCCGACAAATGCCTCACTTGCTGTCATTCGAAAACTATTCCATTAATCCATTCTCCTACACTAACTATTCCAGAATGTAAGCCAAATTGTTTCAATTTTATTTTTTCTTTATATCAATTTCCACATCTTTTCTAATATTCTTTTACGATGGCGTTTTGTTTGTTGTTGTTTTTTGTTTGTTTATTTGTTTATTTGTTGTTGTTTTTTTCATTTACTTTTTTATACTTTCTTTTTGGGAAAGCATCAATGCATTTTTTTTCGTGTATTTTTGTCTTTGTTTTCACCTTTTATTTGTCTTTTTCATCATTCTTTCTTTTCTTCTCGCCCTTTGTTTGTTTTCCTTTCTTTCTTTTCTTCTCGCCCTTTGTTTGTTTCTTTCTTTTCTTTCTTTTCTTCTCGCCCTTTGTTTGTTTCTTTCTTTTCTTTCTTTTCTTCTCGCCCTTTGTTTGTTTCTTTCTTTTCTTTCTTTTCTTCTCGCCCTTTGTTTGTTTCTTTCTTTTCTTTCTTTTCTTCTCGCCCTTTGTTTGTTTGTTTCTTTTCTTTCTTTTCTTCTCGCCCTTTTGTTTGTTTCTTTTTTTTCTTTTTTTTCTTCTCGCCCTTTGTTTGTTTCTTTCTTTTCTTTCTTTTCTTCTCGCCCTTTGTTTGTTTCTTTCTTTTCTTTCTTTTCTTCTCGCCCTTTGTTTGTTTCTTTCTTTTCTATCTTTCTTTTTTCTTACCTTCACTTCGTTTTCTATTTTGCTTCGAATTTTCTTTCTTTCTTTTTTCTTTTTTCGTTTTCCTCAAGAAGAGGGACGTCGAATCGCTTGGACTGGCGCTACAGAATCACAAGCAAAGAACTGTACCAAGTAACAGAAACTATATCAGTTGAAGACTTTCAACAGCAGCAACAACTAAAATGGCTAGCTCATGTAATTGGAAAAGAAAAACAATCTCATAATCAAGATGTTGATATTCCACGCCACCTTAAACAAAAGGTTAGTAAAGAAATACTCATCAATACTAGAAAGAGCTATAACAATAAGAATGAGCTGACCATGTTTGGAAAATAAAACATTCCTATAACGCTAGATACATACATGAAAAAACGTCCA